CTGAGTTTGTTTTAACAATGGTCTCTAGCTAGGGAGGGGTGGAAAATCCACTTGGGGCCACATAAATACAAAGGGAATCCCCTTACAATAAATTAAGGCAAAATCAGTGTTTTTCTAAGGAAAGTCCAATGTATTTGCTTTTTAATACATACAATCAACAGAACATTTCTAATATAATTTTTTTCGAAAACACACCAGAGAACAAATTAAATAAAATCAATCAGACGGTTTAAACGCCGGAAAGCTTTGTCAATTTCACCAACTTGTTTATTTCAAACAGCGTTGCGCGCAAAGGTTTGTGGGTAATATGAGGGTCCAACTTGCCCCGAGTCAAGGGGGCCAACTAGCCCCGGGTGCACATTATTCTTTTTAAAGGATGGCAGCCATTTATGATGCTAGAATGAGCAACGATGATACACATGGGCGTAACTAGGCATACGCACGGATGCACTGTGCGTACAATTTTTTTGGCCAACCATGATATCATTTTATATAAATCTAGTGTATTTTTCACGGAATATAAAAGAAAATCCTCTGCTTATTAAAGTCACCTGTATGTACAAATCCTCTGTATCCATTGTATAGGCACAATTGTTCTGACCCCCCCCCCTCCCCGTCTTGCAAACTGAGGTTAACAATGCCTGTAACCTTGACAAGTCCAATCTTAATCGTCCATCTAACTGGAACATCCTTTACCTCTTAATTGGAGGTTTCAGAGGCCCTCAACTCTTCTGTACAATCTTTCTTCAGAATATCAAGGGCATTCTCACTGGTGATATTCATCTCAGGTAAAAATCTGCCTGAGTGTTATTTCCAAAGAGCAGCTCGATCCCGCAACCCTGGGGGAACTAGATAAAATCTGGACACCAGGTTTAAGAAGGAGCTAGAGAAACAAAGGAATAATTTTTCCTGCTAAACTTCAAAGAATTTTGACACGGACTTGACCCAGCTTACCCCTCCAAACTAACAGGGTGACATGGGCAATTTTTACAAACAAATAATTAAACTTANTCGGGGGCTCCGCCCCCTCGTGTCCGCTTACTGCCCCCCCCCCTGGAATTTTGCTCAGGCTATGGCCCTGATATGCTGTAATTACGCTGTCCTTCATCTCTTGCGTTAGTCTGCATTTTGCTGGGAATTTAAAAATGCGTACAATTTTTTAAGGTCTGGTTACGCCCCTGATACATCTCTGTGAAACTTGAAAAAATGAGCTTCAGTATGATGCCCTATACATATCTTATATTCGATCAAAAGTCTATGAAAATAGATTTTTAAATCTCTTTAACAAAATTACTTTTAGGTGCAAAAATCGTTTGTTTCGACTCACCGCTTAAGTAAAACTTTTTAACGTCCGACACTTCCATAGCATTGTAGGCTACGGTCACTTTACAAGAGTATGTGGCCAATTTTTTTACCTCGCAGTTACTTTTTCATAAATTGACGGGGGGCCAACTTACCCCGGGGTCCAACTAGCCCCGGGGTCCAACTAGCCCCGGTCTCCCCTACCTGAACCTGATGGATAGCTGCAATCTGCGCCTCTCTCTCTCTCTCTCTCTCTCTCTCTCACACACGCGCTTATTTAAACCATGCGGCAAGAGATATAATTTTTCAACAGATGAATGAGCTTTCCTCAGAAATCCTCAAACATGTCTTTAAATGCAAAGAGACCTCCAAAATCTCCACTTATGTCAATATCCACATTTATTAGATGATGAAGCCTCGCAAAACATACACGCGCGGGTGCACGCATACCTGTACACTAAGAGAGAGAGGGAGAGGTAGAGCATTGACTTGCATGCAATACAACAATTCCATCATCACACACAATTTAGGTGTAAATTGTATTAATAAATACAAACAGCTCATTCTTAGCATAATCATAAGCGAGTTTTATGCTTTACCTTCACTGAGGCGATAAGTCCAATGCTCCCGCTGACCACATGTGCATTGGGCGTCCCCCAGTGGTCAACATTTATCAACAAAATTTCAATGGTTTTGGTCCCTGTTAGAATATACGTTTTTGTCTATTTAACGTTGCCTCTTGTCTCAGAGGAAAGGTGGATGATCTTTTCTGCTTTAATGTCACTGTGATTCATTGGAAGTTCTCTTAAGTATTACCTAGCTTTATGGTAACATAAAATTTGTGTACGGTAGTCGCTCTTTTTTTTTTTTTTTGGGGGGGGGGGGGGGGGGGCAGCACAACAAATATGTTCTTTTTGTGGTTATTTTTCTAATAATCAGACGTGACACTTTAGGCATGGAAATTATTATTCAGAACAAACACTGAATTATGCCTCACATTCACAATGTAGTGTTTTTCTGGTAAACTTTGAAGGCGGAATGCAGACTGCTTTGTGCAATCCGTGTCATATGAAACTTATTGTGGCGGGAAACAATATTAACCTTCACACAGTCAGCTCCTGTTGTTCCCTCTCGTTCTGAGATCAACGATGAAATTCTTTAAAAAGTTATTGATAATTGTAAATTTGACAGTATGTCTACGGTAAATGACACTGCATATGCCCAACACTCACTGGAGACTTTCTTTCATTGACATAACACATATTTTGTCGAATCAAAAGACCATTAAATGCTTAGAGGATTATCACCTTTATCACCTTTGAAGACAACAGAAGACATCTAATAGACCCAAGGCTTATTAAGCTACTAAGTACCAAAGGCGTTTTGAATCTATTAATGAAAAAGGTAGCAAGTTCGTCCCGATTTGTCAGCGTAAATGTGGGTTTTATCATGCGAGAGAGGCGTTTCTTAGTCTTTGATGATAAGCGGTTTTTTTTATTAAAATGGTGATCATCGGATGATTTCGGAAATTCTAGGCTCTGTCATCTTAATTTGTGTGAAAAATTCATTCACAAAATTCTCATAATGGGTAAACATTATTCTGTCTGTGTGTGTGTGTGTGTGTGTGTATGTGTGTGTGTGTGTGTGTGTGTGTGTGTGAGAGAGAGAGAGAGTGAGTGTGTGTGTGCCCTTTAAGGGATCTAGGATATTAACGAAAAAGTCCAAAACTAATGNTTTTTAATATCCTAGACCCCTTAAAGCAGACAAGCGCATTATGAAGTCACAGGACTAAGTCAGGTCCAGCGATTTCCAATCCTTTCCTCGTTTGCTTATTGCAATAAAAATCTTTACGACCTACTTAAGGCAATTACTACCGTGTCAAATACTCGTAAAATACTGTCGTACATGTCGTTCTAGCTGTACATACCCCAAGGTTGAACAGTCGGGGTTAATTTGCCAACATGATATCACAAAGACGCTGAGCTGAATAATAACGTCCTTCTTTCTTTTTCATTTTTTATTGTTTGTCTTACAATGTAATTCAGGGTTCATGGAATGTTTTCTTCTTCTTATTCTTCTTATTAGACAGATTTTCAAAATATCCTGTTTTGGATTGATACAGGTGCGTCAGATAGTGTGGTGCTTTCTATCCTGTACAAGTCAAACTGTAATTAGTGGCCACAGAACAAGTCTTTTGCCGAGATATTCGTCCACAAACCGAGATGAAATTTTCCACTGAACTTCTCTGTATAGAGATAGACTTACTGCTGTATCCTCTTTTTCCACTAAAGCTGAAGATAAGAAAGTGACAGCATTTTGTGTTTTTTCCCCTCTAAGTCTCAATTACTCTTGAATCTACCAAATGCACTTTCAAGTTAACTTTCTTGTTATTAGATGGGTCTTCACGCTTAGTAACGAAGAGTTCAATATCAGAAATACATAAAACAAATAAGTACAAGATAATTACGAAGGGGAATACTATGCCCGTTCAAGATCGCGGTCAATTTTCAGTAATAAAAGCGGGCCTCCGTTTCAAGCTTGAGAAAACAAACCGTTGTAATTAAAACATTTATTTACCACCAGTTTCTCTTTTTCTGATATTCGAAATCTACAGAACTCGCGTCCTCTATCTTCAAATAATATTAATGCTCAACAACTTCAAGACTATGATAAAAATAATCACATTTTTAAATTGTAACTTACAAAATATATTTCTCTCTTATTGTATTAACCAGAGTCTTTCTTTGGTATTCAAAAATTATTCTACTTACTGGTACTTTCAACATAAAAGATCATCTGAACACACACGTACCCGCTTGGTTTTAGAGAGATAAAAATATTTTTGCTCTGAAATATAAAGCAAATACAGATATAAAGCAATATCCTTTGTAGTTCTACCATTATAATGTGTTTTCTGGCTTACCAGACATATCTAGGTGACAGGCATTGTTTCAGTGTGATGCATGCGTTTCCTATCCTTTTTTATTTTTTTTATTTTTAATTTTTTTTTGAGAAAACATGTTGATTTTTGAGATGACCACTAACTAACAAATAAACAGAGTCAGAACGCAACATGCCTTCGGTCTTTATTTTTTACTGACGTCATAAGGTATTTTACTGTGGTTCACAGATTGGCAATGTTAGTACGGTGAATTGTTCCTTTAGGGTGTGATACAATGTGTAATTCATAACTGGACACTTTTCATATTCACTCGTGTAAAGACGACTCAAACTTAGCAGCAATTACAAATTATAATGGACTGATGTCAAAGACCTTTCTGACACGCCCTCAGCGTCTCTGCAGGGGCCGCACCTGAGAAGTTTTTTATTAACCAGTAATTATCGCGTACGTCCAAGGCTCCAGTATATGGAAATAGTTAACAAGGACGTTACACCAGGCTGTTACTTCCACTGGATGAATTGTATTGGAAATTTGAGGCCTAATACCCCCTAAATTTTTTTGGTCGCTAAGGACCTTGTTTCCCGTGGATTTGCCACTAATTGAGGTTCGTTAGGGGTGAAAAGGAATGAAATAGTATTGATATGATAATACAAAGAACCTCAGTATATAACAAAGCATGAGGTAAGGACAGTCGTTCTATCTATTTTATGAATATTTTCTTATTTGAATAATACACACACTGGACGACAGAAGTGTCACCCCCTGAATCAGAGTAATCAAAGTTATTAACCTGAAGAGGCGGAATATAAGCAATGTCAGAATATCGATACAGTTGAATTGTTCAGTCAGAACCGTTTCTTTTGTGGAATTTGATGTGAATAAAAGGATACCAGGAGCATATCATTCCACAGTCATTTATCTCCCCCAAAGTATTGGTTCAGTAGGAGTGACTCTTCTATTATCCGGTGTGTGTAATTGTCATATAAAACTAAGAAAATAATTAATTAACCCGTCATTCAAGACATATATCCTAAGTAGAAATAAATACTATCATTATACGTATTCCTTTTGTGTCTCAGAATTGTATAAAACGCATGTCTTGTTCTAGTTTGGATCGACTTAGATTCCAGTCAAGATTCGAGTCACTCGGTCCGTCGGTAAGCAGACGACAACTATTTTCCCGCCAAGATGATGAAGCTGATTCTACTTGTTACTCTCGTGGCTGCCAGGTGAGATGTGGAGAAAGAGAGAGCAAGACATGAGAGAGATGTGTGTTGAGAGAGCGAGATTGGAATTGAGAGAGAGATATGGGAGTTGAATTTGGTCAAGAAAAAATCTGGTTTTCAAAAGAGAGCAGCATTTTTTTCTAAGATGTAAAGGATTGGATATTACGTTATAACCAACAAATAGAACCACACTGATAACAAGAGCTGTAAGTCACTCATGATTCACATCGTCATTGTCCAGTCTTAGATAACTCATTGCTGCATCTCCTGACGCTCAATAAACTTGACCCTTGCCGCACAATCGGGCACGTGCACAGAGTGGAACTCCTGCCCCATGTCCACCTTGCCCATCCACTGTAGGCGGTACCTCTGCAAGATCTTCACTAGCATCACACTCAGCTCCAGCTCCGCAAATCTTCGACCTTCAAAAACAAATATGTTTTTGGTTAAATATTCCAAGAATGTGAAAAATGGAAATGGAAAGAGAAAAGAGCAAGATATCGGCCAAGGGAAAGAAGAGAGAAGAAAAAAAAACGGAAGGAAAATGGGGGAGATCAGACCAAGAACGAATGTAAAGCATCAAAACCCAAGAAAAGAAGAACAAATACCAAATATACGTGTGAATTTCAAAATGGGTCCCGCACACACACACACAGACACGCACACACATATACAGAGCACACACACACACACACTCACACACACACACACACACACAGAGAGAGAGAGAGAGAGAGAGAGAGAGAGAGAGAAAGAGAGAGAGATCATGTCCCAACCTAGGCACATCCGGGTCCCGTGGCCAAACGGCAGCAGCGTGTACGGGTTATAATCCTCAGAGGTGTTTTCTCGAAGCCATCGCTCAGGTTGAAACTGTTCAGGAGCCACGAAATATTCTGGGCTGTGGTAGAACACGAGGCTGTTCAGAGAAAGAATCGTCTGTAAAGAAAAGGCACAAGAATGATGTATTAGTATAGATGGCGCCACGGCTTACCCGGCCAAAATGTATAAATCAGCTCTTCGTTTATGGAGAAATTATTGTAGCTTTAAAACTTGGTTGGTGTGTTTTTAAATTTTAAGTTGTACTTTACAAGTTGTACATAATGCTGTGACGAATTATTATTATCATCACTTTAAAATTATTTACATAGTTGCCATGACCACAAATAATGGACCATGCAGATATCGAAAACATTGTAATCCCGAAAGAAATGATAATAACATATGTGGCAAATTGTTCCAAGAAATGACAGAGATCTCAAGAAAAGGCTACTGTACATTCGAGAACCAAATTTCACCAAACAAACGTTCAACGGAAAACAGCGTTCATCACAAGGTTGTGTTTTATTGTTTGTCATTCCATATCAAACGCTTTATGTTGAGGCGTCCAAATAATCTTATTGGATCTCAAATAGAAATTCTAAAAAAAGAGTTAAGTAAAGATCCACTGTGTAGTATTACGACAGTGTTTTTTCCACTGTCAGGTAAAGAAGGCATACTGTATTTCTTTATAAAATCCTTTTTTTTAGTATGTGCTAAGCTGGTTATACACTGTACCCCCTTTGTTATATGGTATCCACCAACCACCGTGTCCTGCTGTGGAATTCTGGTAAGTTCCACCGTAAGAGGAAAAAACCTGTAACAGAAAAAATATGACTTTTTTAAGATAAGCCGTTACAGCACAAGTGTAAACTGGCATTTATGGCAGCAGAGAGGCTCATTTAATTCAACGTCAACGCACGTGTACACGTGTTAATTTGTGCTTTAAGGTTATATGCTGTGATTTCGCTTCAGTGAATAGAATGCAATTCTGAGTCTTATCACTTTAAATAATTTGCTAACCACTACCTCGGCATGTGTGAGTCATAATTTGTTATTCATCCAGAGTAAAAAAATTGTCACATATTTACAATGAATATATTATTCTAGGAAATACACTTGCTATATAGCCTCCCTATATTCATCAAAAGATTAAAATTTTGGCATGCATAAGAAATTTTGACTTTTTGATTCATCAACATTTGGAAATGCCTTGCATGATATATTCCCTGATGAAATCGTTTGTCATACGCTGAGATGTTGTGGTTTGAAAAAAATCTGATTTTATCTGATGTACGAAGAAGCTATCATAGCACATTTCCTAGTATTTTATCTATAATTGCAAAAGGCCCATTACTATAATATTGAAAACATTTATTTTGTAAGATGTGGTATTTCACAGACCTGGAGGTCTCCTTAAGAAAAGCTTTCATGTACTTCATCTTCTTGATGTGGTCCTTCGTCACATTTTCCCCTCTCGGCACGGTTTTCTCTACTTCCTCGAATAGCTTGTCTTGCACGTGACTGTACTTCGAAAGCGTGAACAGATTCCAAATCAAAACGGCTGGTGTCTGGAAACGTGTCATTATACGGACGTGAATTAATTACACTTTGTATCCAATGAAAAAACACCGAACAGTTGATGAACGGAATGCAAGAAAAATGACAATAACATTTGAATCGAACCCTCGTACTTGTAGATAGATATATAGTTGAAACCCATACCAAAGCAGAGGCCAATCGTTAAAAATGTGCAAAATTTGAGGAATATCCCGTTATGTTTTGATGGTTTAAGAGAGTATGAGTAGATTTATTAAGCCTACTCCGTATGGTTACAAAAGGATTGATTGCTTGGAGAGGGAAAAGGATTAGAACATGCAAGGAACGTGACCCCCCATTTCATTCTTACCGCAATGAGTCCATCAAATACCATATCCAATGACAGCATGCCCCACTCACTGTACGGGATATCACCTGGAATGGGTACGTCATGATATCTGTTTGAATATTATCCAACACAGTTCGGTAAAATGTTTGTTCGTTCTAATAAACATGTAGAGAGCGCCGTCTATATATCTGACTGGTGCATGAAGCACCGCGTGTAAGAGGTTACCTGAACGGGACATTACATGTCGCAGGAAACTATATTTGTCATCTGGCAACTGGTTTGTGGCGGAGAGGACCTTAATGTCATCGACTGCCCGGTCCAAAAGTTTTTGCAAACCCCTGATAAAAATAACATTGCAAATATGTGGTTATGTGTAGTTAATAATTCATGACAGTTAAAAAAAAAAAAAAACAGATTCCAGATTCCAGTCACGCAGATTATCAAATAAAAAAGTAATTTAATTTTATTTTGTTGCTTCTAATAATAGATGGACAAAATAAACCTATTCATTGCCTTATGTATTCCATCATTTTTGTCTCCTCAGAGTACAGACGACAGCACACACGAAGTCAGTGAAATAACTTTGAGTATCTAATGTAAAAAATAAAGTATATGTACCCCTGTTAGTGAGCAGGGTACACGCGAGAGAGAGGTTGTATTTACCCAAACAAGTAATCCGCACTTTTCACCATGGTATCCCACTGTGTAGTTCTCACGTATCTGTACAGAGGAAGTGAATAATACAGGCGCGTGGCACTGCGAACGACAGTTTGCGTAGCCTCTATCATGGAGCGGACGTCAAAGAACTCGTTGACCTCATTATCAAAGAAGCCCGGATTTGTCTCAAAAACATTTCTGGCAGTGGCTGGAAATTGTAGCATAAATGAAGGGAACTTCGGAGTAGAACAGATTAGGGTTTTAGGATAATCCATAAAAGAGGGTTTTGCCGATCCTTAGGTATATTTCCTACTTTTTTTATACCCGAACACAAGCTCGCCATATTTTTTTTATAATTTCGCTGTCTCATGCCAGCATTAATATCTAGTTCTATACTTATTCACTTACGCCATTATTCGAAGAACCTCGATTTATTAGTTGTTGCTTTAAATGGATTCAATTATGGGTAGTACAATGTATATATACTTACCGTGTTGTTACCCTCAGACTATAGAGCTACAGTAGTACTACTACCACCGATGCCCAATACATGTACTTCTATTGCTGCTGCTGCTAGCCCTGCACATATACTACCACAAATGCTACTATACAGCCAAATTTTAAAACAACGTATTTTAGGTCACTAAATATTACTTTCGAATGTAACCACTGGTCCCTGTGACAAAAAAAAAAAAAAAAAAAAAAAAAAAAAAAAAAA